CCCACTCTCTTACAAACCCTTCTCTTTTCACTCATCTGACAGTCTCCCTAATCACTTCCTAGTTGCTTCTACTCCACGGAGTGCTTTTAAGCCTCTCCCTCTCTTTGTCAATGGACGCTTGCTCCTCTCTAAGCCCCTCCCACTCTTGCTTAGGTCCCGCTGACTTTCAAAGTCACTCTCACACTGTTCCCTAAGGATCTTGTATTCCTTGTGAAGCCCTTCCCCTCCTAAGCCCATAGCACTTCCCTCTAAACTCCTCCCACTTTTCTCTGAAGATGCTTAGTGAATGGGAAGACAAAGATTTGGGGGTAAGCACACTGTAGTCATCCTTTCAGGGAGACCAGAACTAGTCCTGCAACCTCAAATAAAACCAGCTGAAACTCTTTTCATCTGCAAAATGGGAATAATAGTCCTTACCTCGTGGAGTGGGGTTGGGATTAAGTAAAATTGTGGCAATGTGTGCTATGTGCTTACTTAAGCCGGTGCACAACAAAGACTCAACAAGTAAGCTGTTTTCATTACGATTATCGTTCAAGTTCCTCCTAGTTTCCTCTTTAAGTCCCACCATGCTTTCTAAGTTATTGGACTTCTCTAAGCCCCTCTCTCCTCCACTAAGACTCTCCTCCAAAACTCCATCCAATTTTTCCTTTAAGTAAGCCCCATCCTTTCCCAGACGCCCCTACATTCAACTCCTGTCACCTTCTCGGCCCTTTTTTATACCCCTCCCCTTCAAGCCTTTTTCACCTTCAACGAAGACCCGATATTCTCAATAAAACGCTCCAAATTACGCACCAAACGCGACCCCCTCACTATGTCAACCCACATTCTCTAAGCCACACTCCAGCCAAACCGCACCTCTTCTACTCTGAGCTCCTCCCGTCTTCTTCCTGAGCCTCATTTCCCCACTAAGCCTCTATACGTTCCTTCTACCCTTCAACCTAGGACCCGCCCACATTCTCTTCTAGCCACGCCCCTTACCAAACCCCACCCCTTTGCCTAGGCCCCTTCCATTTCCTACCGGCAGTCCCTCTCCCTCCACCAAACCTCTCCTATTTCCATCCTAAGCCCCGCCCCCACCAGGCTCCTCCCAACCCTGCTCCGCCCCAAACGCCACTAAGCCCCGCCTCCTCCACCGCGCAGCCGGAGGAGCTGCACCCCCCCACCAAGTCCAGTCCCTCTCCCTCCACCAAACCTCTCCTATTTCCATCCTAAGCCCCGCCCCCACCAGGCTCTTCCCAACCCTGCTCCGCCCCAAACGCCACTAAGCCCCGCCTCCTCCACCGCGCAGCCGGAGGAGCTGCACCCCCCCACCAAGTCCGCTCAAGGACCCAGGCCCCGAGAGCCGGCCTTTTGTGCCCCTCCCCCTGTCCCTAAAAGGTGCGGCCCCGGGCGCCCGGGGCGGGGGTAGGTCAGGCGGGCCCCCGATCCGGTCGAGTCCACATCGCTCGTGAGGAGCGGAGGTCGTGGAGACCTGGGGCAGCCCCGGGAGGCCGGGGAAGTCAGTCGGCTTTCCTCTTTAATTACTTACACCTCCCTCTGGGCGCCGACATTTTGGGCAGCGGGGGTAGCGTCACTTCCACCCAGGGGGCCCCTCGACTTCCGCCTCGGCTCCCTTCTCCCCCCTCGCACTCCTCCTTTCGCCCGCCCTCTTGGCTCCCTCTCCCCACCCCCTCTCTTCTCCCTCTTTCCCTTCTCTTTCTCAGCCCTGTAGGTTAGAGAAGCCAGATTGGTACCATCTTGGGTGAGGGCAGAGGGCGGGGCGAGGTTTAAGGTTACCCACGGCGCCATTCAGACTAAGGGCAATGAGCTCAGCGCGCCGCTTTTTCTCCTTCTGTGGCGACGCTAGTTGGTGCTAACGTAGATGAAGGCAGATATGATTCTCTTTTCTCAGCCTCGGACTTCTCCCGGTAGGATGCAGAATTGCTCCAGGAGAAAAGAGAGAAATTGAAGTGGCCAACTGCGAAATAGGGATAGAAACGACCAGGCACCATCTTATCAGCTTAGCCCTGTTTGGGGCTTCGAAGCTTATCAAGCGCCATATTAGTTACGGGCAATGAACAGCCATTTTCCCCTTTCTTACCCATTCCGTACCTATCTTTGATTGGGTCACCTGGCTGGGTGCTTTGTGGGTGGAAAGACATTTCGACGTGTTTGGGAATGTGGTGGTGGGTTATCTTCCTCTAGGGACAAACAAGGACAACTGGTACGCAGGCGCGGTTTGCTTGCGCGGAATGTGCGGGGTCCTTAGGACCCAGCGAGTTCCCTTTGTTCCCCGCAGGCGCGCGGCCCCGGCGGGGGAAGTGAAGGGAGGGGCCTCCGTGCGTCCGCTCCGAGGGGCGGG